GAGCCTCCCGCGCCCTGGCTGGGGGGGAACCCCGGGGGGCGCCCGCACGCGGCCCCGGGCCCTAGCACCCGGACTGCGCGGGACTTGGTGGCCGCTGCCGCCCACCTGCGCGTCCCGGAGTGGATTCGGCGCTCCGGCCCCCCTTCCTGTCCCAGGCACTCAGCCCAGCCCGGCCCCGCCCCAGGCAGCGCTGGGCGGGGTCCTCCGCGCTGAGACTATGCCCGGCGGCCTGGGTAGCCTGCGTGGGCCCGAGGCAGGCTGCTGGGAGTTTGAGGAGAGCTTCGAGGGCGCGCGCTCCCCGTCTCTCCGTGCCTCGGTTTCCCAGGTGGAAGACCCAATTGTGTGTGCCGCTCGAGGCCGCCACTGCTCAGGCTGCGCCTGCCGTCTGGTTTGCCGGAGGTACACCATTGGAGTTGGAATGTCACCCGTGGGTGGCCCTGCGTCTCCTTTGACGGGCAGGGATACCGAGGCAGAGTGGGAGAAATATCCAGATGCCAACGTGACTAGCAAAGTGTAGATGGGAGTCCAGGTCCTCTGAAAGACAGAAAAGGGTGAGGTCATGTGCCCGGTGCAGCGCGTTTGACGTCCTCGGTTTCTGCAGCCTTGCAAATTCATCTCCTGGTGAACTCGTTATTCACATGGGGATTCCTGATCCCCAAGTGGTTCCGTGGGACTCCAGAGGTACCGGGCCTGGCTCCCTGGCGCCCCCGCATGGCCCGGCACTCCCTGCACCAGCTCCGAGGTGACCACGGAGAGGTTTCATTTCCCTTACAGCAGCCAAAGTGAGCCAAAGCAAACACTAAACTAGTCAATTCCCTGCTTAAACCCTCAGCGTTTTCTCGGGACTTAGGTGGAAATCGGCCCCATACCAACATTAGTGTGCAAACAACCCCGCTTCCCCAGGAATCTTGTTAAAATGCAGGTTCTGGCCCAGCGCGGTGGCTCACACCTGTAATCCCAGCACTTTGGGAGACCGAGGCAAGAGGATTGCCTTAACCCCGGGGGTTTGAGACCAGCCTGGACAACTTGGTGAGACCTCGTCTCTACAATAAATAAAAAAATAAGCTAGGCATGATAGCATGCGCCCGTAGTTCTAGCTACTTGGAAAGCTGAGGTGGAAGGATCGCCTGAGCCCAGCAGGTCAAGCCTGCGGTGGTCGTGCCACTGTACTCCAATCTGGGCGACAGAGTGAGACTCTGACTTAAACAAAAAAATGCAGATTCTGTTTCAGTAGATTGGGAGGGAGATTGGTAATCTAGAGTCTACTGGTCCAGGAACCATACTTTGGCACTATCCTACTATACATACTACTTTTTGTATTATCAAAATAAGTAATACATGTTTATGATAACAAATTTAGTGTTCAGGGCAGGCTCTGGGCAGACACCAGGAAGATCCTGCAGCCAGAGCACAGGGAAGGAAGGAAGGCCCGTCATCGACCCCCCACCCAAGGCATGCACCACACTGTGCTCATCCTATTTTTTTTTTCTGAGTTGGAGTCTCACTCTGTTGCCCAGGCTGGAGTGCAGTGGCATGCTCACAGCCACCCCAGCACCAGCCTGCTGGGCTCTGGTGATCCTTCTGCCTCAGCCTTCCAAGTAGGTGGAACTACAGGTGCTGCACTACCACACCTGGTTAATTTTTTTTTTTTTTTAATTGTGGACATGAGGTCTCGCCAAGTTGCCTGGCTGGTCTTGAACCCGTGGGCTCAGGCAATCCACTCGCCTTGGTCTCCCAAAGTACTGGGATTATTACAGGCTGAGCCACCAAGCCCAGTCCTGTAAAAATATTTTTTAAAAATATTTTGAG